CTTGGATTTAACACTTGGGAGGTCGATAATTGCTGGGAGTTGTTTCTAACATCTTGATCCTCTGAACAACCAGATTTGGATGTAAACTCTAGCATACCATTATAGGTACTGGACATGATTGACTTATGAAACCTAAAAGTTGAAAGCAATATAGTCAATCAAATAATAATATCAGCCTAAAGAAACGAAGTAATGACCTAGCAAAATGAAAAATGTACTATGCGCAGACCATACAATATAATCAAATAAAATAACACTTTTGTGAGAGAAATGCACGAATGCCATTAAATATTTAGCTTCCTTACAGGTTTACCCTACATATAAGCATACATGGATATGGTTTAACAAAAAATGGTTGTCTAGTCCATCTAATAATAAATAAACCATGCATCCTGAAGTGTAAACATTCCCAAACTTCAAAGAACTCAGCATATACAATTGCGACTATCAAATTAACCAAGAAATATGCATAATGAGATATCAAACCCCAAGTCACTGAACTAACAGAACAGATTATCTTAACTCCTAGCAGTGCATAGATGTAAAGGAGACATCAATAGAAGTACCAGGAAACTCACCAGTTCACTGAAGAAGAGAACACCAAGCGCATGTAAGTTTTCAAAGTGAAATCCAGAGGAGCCTTTTTGCCAGGCAGATGGAATTCAGAGCAGAAATTTCCACTTGATGAAGGATCACCAGATTTTTCAGATAAATCAGCAGGAATACCAGATGTCATTTCAAGAGCAACTAGTCCTTTTAATGCTTTATCCTGTCAAAGTAGATGATGATCCAACTAAAACAGATATACAATTAAGTAACCAAAAAGGAGAAATATCAATAAAGCAGACCATATCAACAGTTGCCAAGCAAGATCCTTCACCACCTAAAGAAAGCTCAGCAACACTACGAAATTTATTTTGACTGCATTTCTCATTTGTTGGACGAGCCGGCAACACACCATCTTGAGAAATATCAGCAGAAGCAACAGAATTTTCCAGACTGCAAAGAGATAATGACAAGTTTTACCAAGTTGTAGTTTGCCATGGTAAGTGGTACAAGTGTAAGAACATGATGTCATTTATTTGGTCCATGATGCTGAGGTTACACTTCTATGATTAATTATTCTAGGTAGAGGCTTTAGCCATTTTTTAGGGACCATTTATAGGGTGTCCATTTTTTAGAAGCATTTACAGGGTTCTTATATCATACATGTTACATGTGTTTACTTATGCAAACATATATATTTTTTAAATAAGTTTACATATGCAAATATATATTTAAAAAAACAAGGATAGCACGAAATCACACAATAATTACAAATCTGAAATTAGTAGTTAGAACATAAAATCCAAATATCCAAGATATCTAGATTCTATATACGCACAAAAGTTAAATTATGAGACAAAAATCTCCATCATTGTAGGATCTAAGCATTCTATTTCTCGACACACTTCATTTCTCCTCACTAACTTCTAGTGCAGAGCTGGAAAACAAAGAGAGAAATCTTAATCATTCATTTTTTTGTTTTTATTCGGTTCACCACTTTTATGTGATTATGGATGACTGAAGAACCAGAAGTTGGATCAGATATCCAGATCATGTTTCTGAAAGGTGTTCTGATCCATTATTGACAGTGAGAAAGATTCAATAACTATCAGAAGACATATGGACTAACCTCATCGCAGGATAAAGATTCTCTCTTTAAATGCATACCTTGAGATTTGTTTTCTTTTCTTGGCAGCCAAATCTGAAAGCGCGGAGAGATGCTGCAGGCTGTCTGGTTTTTCTGTCAAACTACTATCCTGCAAGTACACAAAATAATATTGACTAAATTTGATAAACCAATAATGAACAATATAAACTCCAATCAGACAATTCAGGTAAATGTATAAGGCATAAAAGAAAAACTGGAAGACAACTTATATGGAAAACCAATAACCTTAGAACTTTCTTTTCCATATTCCATCCTAAACCTGGATTTTCTGACGGGATAAACTTCATTCATCCTTTTGTCAGTGTATCTTGGATTCCTTGGCAGTTCTTGCTTCTTGGACCCATTATCTGCATCGCTAGTAGTGCTGATAGAAACCAAGGAAGCATCAGTTATCATTTATGAACTACGCAAACTTTAGATTTGTCACGGGCATTACCTTTTACAACCAACCAATATGGATGAAGATTC